AATAATCGATTTTAATCGATTCATCAAAGTAATCGATTAAAGTCGATTAGATTTTTAATCGATTTTTTTGAATTTTCTAAGAATAATCGATTTTAATCGAGTTTTAGCTATGTTAAATCGATTATAATCAATTTTTTACACGAATTTAATCAAAATTGCTTCTTTTAATAGATTTTTCCAGATTTTTCGCAGAAAAATCAATTTAAATCAGATTTTTAGGCTGTTTTTTTACATGGGAAGAACTTGATTGCAGCTAGAAAAACAGAGATGATAGCCAAAGCGCTCTATTGTTTAAAAAACACTACATATGCAAAAGAAAATTGGAATTAAAATGTTTCACTGCACTTTTCGAGGATTCTAGGTTTGTTAAGTTGCATGCTTAAGCTAATAGTAAAAGTTTTGTCAAAACCAGATGCTGAGATTAGCAGGATACAAAATATCGAAAGCTGTCTTACCATTTTCTTGTTTTTCTTTCTCTTCAAGAATGACGCTGCTCTTGCTAGTTTACCTCCATTGAATCCTCTCGTCGAAAACACAATGTCATGCAACGGTGCCTTCCCTATGAGATCGCCCAATAGTGATGAATTCGTTTTCAATCGACGTTCAGTACATCAAGCTGTCTTACCAGCTGCTAATGGTATTTCGAATGCTCATTCGCTCGCGCGAATTTATGCATTATTGATTGGTGATGTTAATGAAAATGGCAAAAAAACAACATGTCTTTTGAGCAAGAAAACTTTGAAAATGGCTACAGAAAATGTGACACCGCTAAATGAGGTCGACCAAACCATGTTTGGCTTCACATCAAAATTTTCAAGAGGAGGATTTGAACTATATGGTGACTATTTTAAAGTTCTAGGCGAAGATGGATTTGGTCATCATGGTAAGGTTTCAAGAAACACATAATTTTACAAGTATCTCTTATTTAATTTTGAAAGTTTTCAAAACATGTTCGGTGCATTTTTCTTTACTAAATTAAAAAGAGTATGACTCACAGTTTTTCATCAAGATATCAATAACTAAAAGAAGTGAATTGATGAGTGAAGCAATCGCATATAATCCAATAATCCAATAATCAAATACTTTTCTTTTTCGTTATTAGGCTTTGGTGGCAGTCTTGCCTTTGCATCACTTTCACAACATTTAGCTTTTGCTTATGTATTCAATCAACTTGGTTTCGACACGTTTGCAATTAATTCGAGAAATCTTCAATTTCTCGAAATAATCGACACTATCATCAAAGAAAAAAAGACCTCATGAAAAATTTAATGGTCTCAATGAGATGGTATAAAGAGGAACATTTTATTAATAATTTAAATCATTCAACATATCTTATTTTTTAAATAATTTAAAATAAATTTGATTGCATATTATTTTCATTGGGAAAATGTGTTGGTACGCCGTAGCTATCAAATGATTACTGAGCAATGAAAAAAAATTAGTAACGTAATGTTTTTCTCTCTACGAATGAATCTTCATTGTAAATAATTTAGACGTCGACATTCGTATTTACCAGATAGATGAATAGAGAATCACTGATTAGAAACAATCGTTCTAGAAGAACTACGAATTATAGCTTGAGCCTAACCTTCTCCGGTATCCTTAACTTTATTAAGAGACCGATAGTGTTTGAAGGTTTGTTTGTGTGATTGACTGGATTGGAAAAGAGAATCATGAATTGGACTTAAGCGAAATTTTGTACATGTCGGAGAAGAACATCATCAATAGATATCGCGACAATATGGATAAAACGCTTAAGATGGCGTGTAAGTCTCGCGAACAGGATGTTGGATATGGATATGGCTCTTATCGTAACCCACACTCATATCCATTCTGATAAATCTTATGCAGACTGTGTTAGTAAGCTAGATGGATAAAATGACAAATGTAACAAATGACAGGAATATGCCATTGATGAAACAAATATTTAATATCACTTTCTAGATTATGTCCTACTCGAATCGAAATTAATTTCAAATGCAAGTGTTATTACTTTGTCTTTGACTATTGAATGATTACTAGCAACGAAGACATTGTGTGGTTCACCTACTGTTATGCTTTGACGACAAAGGTATTAGATATTGCTTTTTGAAGTCGTTCTGCTTTGTAAAAATTGTTCAGATGCGATCTTTGACAAGGTTGATTTAATAGATCAATAAGGATTTCCTCATTAAATAATGATGGCACATGTTCGAGGTGCGATACAAGAGAATCAATATAGTGTTCTGGATGAATGGCAACAAAGGTAATAGGCGAACGACGGAGAAAAATCTCAAAATGTCGAAATGTTAAACGAGGAAAAGTTGGATTCTGGATATCGAATGTGGACGTGGTAGTCAGCAATAAAAGATTCTCATTCATATTCAAACTCTTTACGAAAAAAGTTAATTGTAAAATAGAAATTGAACAAATACTACTTGTTTTTTTCCTTTTCTTTCTCAACATAAAGTGACAGTTACATTTCAATACAAGCGAGACTACGTAATTATCGATGATTTTAATGATTCTTGCATATTAAAATAGGCTTCTCGTTTTCTTTTTTGTTTTTAATCTTTTATGAACATTTGAACATTAATTTTTTGAAAGTAATTTCTTAGAGAAATCTTCATTGAAAATACTTTTCATCATTCAATTCTTACGTTCGAATCATTTTGCCTTTGTTTCTCGATGTCTCCATGCAATGTTAAAATCAAATCATTTTTATATTCAATTCTAATATAATAAATCTTCTAATTAAAGTTCATAATTCTTATTTTTTTTATAGAAAATTTTATGACTATCTACTAGGACAATAAAGAAATAATCAAATTACGTTTTTATTACTTTTTGTTATAGTATAACCTAGAAAAGGCAACTAAAACTAAATAACTGTCAGCATATTTTTGTGACTAATTATATATTTTCTGATTTAAAATAAAATTTGAAAGGATTTATTTTCATCGATTATATTCAATGTCTTAGTCATTTTGATTATCATTCGATAGAATTTTCTCTTTTAAATACATAATCCAATGAAAAAAGTTGTTAGCACAATCTCTGTGCAGTTAAAATATGAAACACCATGTAGCTATTGTTATTAATTATAGGAAGATTGTATTATTGTATATATTTTGGGACACATTTCTTCATCATCATTTTACTTAATCCTTTAGAAATGCAACAAAGAAGTAGTTTATATATTAGAATGAAATGTTATTGATACACGATCTTTGATCATAATATTAACAACGTCTATCACGTTATGTGACGAAGGATGAGAAGGTTCAAATTTTTACTTCTATACTTCAACACTCATTTTAGATTGTGTTTCACAAAAAGATGAATAATTAAAATTTAAAATAAAAATTTTGTTTGAAAATTATTTTTATTGATAATCTCATATTTAAAATGATTATTTTTGCTTCATAGCAGAAGCAGCAATAACTATTGACTTAAGAGTTCGACGTCCTTTTGCTGCTTGATCTGATGAATTTGTTGATTGTTTTCCTGATTTTGAAATTATTTTTGATGTAACTTTTGTATTTGTTGCTTTTCTTAATTTCAATAGAAATTCATTTGTTATTAATGTTGAATCATTTAATAATGGAATATATTGTCCTTCTTCTAAAATTGAAAAACGATTGTTTTTTTTCTTCCTTAATTATAAATAAAAAAAGATTTTAGTAAATAATTTACCATCAATTTGTGTTAATACACAACGAACATGTGATGGAAAACGACGACGTTCAGATAAAACAAATTTTGAATCAAATGATAAAAGATGAAGTGGTTCTCCACTATTTAATAAACATAAATCAAATTTTAATGATGATGATAAACAACAATGAGTTCGAATATAATTTATTAAATGTATTGGCTAATTAACAAAAAACAAGAAAAATCAAACAAGTTTATTTAAAATAAAAATAAAACTAAATTCTAATGTACTTGACAGTTTCCATTGACAAGTAAAACACAAGCATCACCGTAGTGAAGTTCGATCAACATTTGCTTTTTATTCTATATTAATATTCACGATTGACAAAAAAAAATGATTTCCTATTTAACAAACATTCTCAAGGCGATGCTTTATCGTTCTTTTCTCACGCCTATATTATGAGTATTGGAAAAATAATTCTACCTCAATGAGATACGTGAACATTATTATTTCTAGACGAATAATCAATCTATATAAATATATCAAATATTATTTTTATATAAAAGCTTCTTCAACATTCTCTATAATCGACATTCCGGATATTCCATAAAAAAAAATGATTCAACCGACAGTTTGTTTTTTTTTACGCCAAATAGGTAACTCTTCAAGTTTTATTAGTTCAACACATTGTTTATCGTTAGAAATTAATTCCATTAAAACAGTTGAATTCAAATCTATTCGACTATATCATAATGAAATGAATGAATCAATTTGTCTCATGAAATGTGAATAAATTAAACAAACAGAAACATACAAGTTAAAAGTTAAATAGTATAAATAGATTGTGTAGTCGAGAGTAAATATTGTTAAAAGTTTATATTCAATTGATTATTGAAAGTATTGATCGATCATCAATTGATGTTGAGTCATTCAAATTTCTAAGAGAAAGTCAACCAAATTCTATTGATAATGACAAAGAAGTTTTTTTTTTGTCTATTTAACTCTGAGAAAGATTTTTCTATTGTAATAAAATAAGAAACGAATAAACATTAATTTCATAAGAAAAATGCCAAAAAATAAAATCTTTTTTTGTGAAGTATTGTATATTTGATCAGATTCATAAACACATAATGAAAAGATAAAAATATAAGTTCATTTCAATTGAAGGAAGTCAATATGGATAAACAAAATAATGAAATCTATATTTGATAAAATAATCATTGTATCTTCTAGTTTCAAAATATTTTCGTTCAAACAAGTCAAGTGTCAGTGCAGTGGAATCATCAATACGAAGAAAGAGAATCATTCGAGATATTTTCGTGGAAAGTTTGAGATGTTCATATTGATAATGGAGAAAGAATTTGAGTTTTGGATGCACAATTACAAGGTTGGGCTTATAGTAATTTTACAGATAGAAAAGCAGCAACTATAGCAACACCACTGAGTGCTGTAGAAAAATAAAAACAATTGAATATATAATATGAAGACAATCAAACGCTTCGTGATAATGTCGAACTAGGAATTTTACAAAGTATTAAAAGATATCGAAGATATTTACGAATCAAGTGAAACTCAAGATGCGAGCATGATTAAAATGGTTGACGAGTTAACACATGCTGTGTTTAAGGATTCTGAATCATTGGTTGATGCTTATACAAAAATTCGAACATATTTATCCGCTATTGATACTGACTTATTACTTGCATCGATTGGAGATGCATTACGATTAATGTCTATCACTAATGAATACAATCATATCAATAAAATTGCAGATGTACAATGTCTATGACTACTATAAGCATACGAACCATTCGATTTTTAGAGAGAGGATTTTGATAGATCTTTATCGGAAAAAAATAATCAGTTGGTACTAATTAGTTTAGGCATACTTCGTTTCGTAACTTATCATCGACTTTATTCAAAAACATATTTTTTTTTCTCTTTGATTTTTCTGCACGTAGTTCACTGTCTTGATTTTTTTCATTATTTCTTGTAATAAGCTATGTGTGTCAGCTCGACAGGTCGGATTTGATGATAATAATAAAGTAGACATATGGACCTGCCTTTTGTACTAGAAAAAAAAAACTAGTGATCGCTTGTTGCATAGCAAAATGACAAACAGAAAAATTTTTGAGTGCGTATTTCCGCTGGATATGTTTTTCAAAAGGGAAAGACGATGTATGAGTCATAATTTCAATACATATGAATCGATGGAGATCTGGTTAGTGCGTGAGATTAGGGCTTATTATCGCATGTGTGCAACCACAATATTATAAAGAATAGTAGCAACTCATGGTAGACGGCGACTTTCGTCCAGGACTGTATATACCAATTCCATGAGCAGTGTTATATCATAGATATTACAACTTCAATTGTTTTTATTGAAATAATTGTGAATGCCTTTACCTATTTTGATATGAATCTAATAAGATCGAAACATATTGGATAAAATTAGAAAATTTTGAAACTCTTGAAATTCTTTATATTACAAGAGATAATAAAAGAAATATTTGATACAATAAAAATACTAATCTATTAGCAATAGAAGAATTTTCTACATTTGTTAACATTCTAAAATAGTTTCTTTATTCATATTACTCTTGTCAATAAGGAACAAATTTTCATAAATCAAATTAATCTTTTCAATATTCTTCTATTTATTTAGATTAATAAATTTTTAAACAAAACTTTAAAATACAATGTTTCATTCAATTTGTTAGAATACATCTAATATATAAAAAGTCAATGACTACATTAATAATAATTACAATAATATTTAGTCATTATGTTTTTTTTTTTGTTAGTATATTGTCTTTATCTATTTATAATATTCATTCAATTATATACGATTAACCTGTAGAACTCGATTCTACACTTGATTGACCAAGCCAAAAAGCTATTATAGCTAAAGCTACATATGAACAGAAATGAGCTACTACCATTAGATCAAATGAGTAACCTAAACTTTGTTCTAAAATTGATGCAAGTGTTCCTAATAAAAAAATAGTTGCAATAAATAATAAAATAATTGATACTAATCGAAGAACACCAGTTAACATATCGAACATTTGCAAGACAAGAACTATAATAGTTATAATCAGAAGAATAAATGAAATAACAGAAAGAGCAGCTGTTGATTTGTACATTCCATTGTCGAACAAACCAGTACTACCACGCCATCCTTTTGTAGATAAACCAATTATACAAAAAAGAGCTGAAACCACTGTAATAATAAGGCCAGCAAGTATCAAAATTCGTCCTGCTATACGCATATTTTTCTTTTAACGATATAGATCTGACAAGTTGTAAAGGTAAATGTTGAATGAAAACGAGAGATCAAATTCCTCTTTCGTAATACGATTTCGATGAGACGAAGGTAAATAGATCTTGATTATAGAGCGTGTTAGTCAAAGAAAGCGAAAAAAAAAAAGTACACGAACAAATTTTTATACGAATAAAGTATACGTTTAATATATGTGAAAGGAGAGAGAGAGAGAGAACGATGCAGATAAAGTATTCGTATGCAATCATTTACCAGTATAGTTACAAGTAGTAAGAAAAAGTAAAAGAAAGAAATCATTCTGTATATTGACTTTTTTTTTTTCTACTTCTTTGACCAATTATGCGACATTCAGATAAATAAAAGAGCAATGAGTTAAAAAAAAGTTGATATAGTAAATATGTAAAAGTATTCAATCGAAAGAAATTTTAAAATTTTATATTGACATCATAAATGATTTCATCATATTGATAATTCAAAAATTTTTCAAGAAACAAAAAAAAAAAAGATTTAAATTTCATCAACATTACTTCCTTTTTTTCGTTTTATAAAGGATATTTTCGATTTCATAATTATGTTTCAAATAGTACTAAGCATACTTAATACATTTGTTACTAAAAAAAAAAAAAAATTATTTATAACTTCGATCAATATACAAACAATGCCTTAAACTTTTTACACTCTCTTGAAAATGCATTTGAATTACATATTGATGAAAAATGAGTATATGTCAAGTGAAATAAATCGATCTATGTAATATGGTAAGGAACATGATTTTTTTTTTTTTTTTTGTAAATGTATAAAGAGATTAACAGCGATTGAATTAGTTATTCTATGTTATGAAGTATACTTTTTTTCATTTGTAAATACAAGATACCTTAAAGAGAGTACACTAAAAGACTTATAAACACATGAATTTATTTAGGATATGTTTTTCTTTGTATATGAAATATTGAATCGTTGTTTAACAGATGAATTCATTTTTCAGGTTTCTGTTTATCTTTTTGATTTATGTAGTTGATGAATAAACTGATATTCAATTAGTAGTTCTTATAGGAAATTTTTTTTACTCGTTGTATTTTGTATTATGTAAGAGCTTAAAGATATATTATAATGAAAATGATTTGTCCTTGTAGATAAATCTGAACATGAAAATCAATATTTATTTGTAATGTAAATGTATTTTTCATAGTCTATCATGGTTTTAATATGGACAATTTGTAAAAAATATCATTAACAAAGTGTAATCTGTTATGACATTTTGATGTTTTTACAATATATGCATGCTGATAGAAATCTATCAGACCAATCCAAAGCATGTAATCAATGAAGAAAAGTAAATCGAATACTACTTTCAGACACAAACATTACTTTTCTTCTCTCCCGCCCGACCAATGCTACTCTCTAGCTTGATTTCTTTATTCTCCTTTTTTTTTTCGAGAAAAAAATTTCCTTATCTAAAATCGAGCGAAATATGAAAGTCTATGTGTCAATTTTAACGTGTATTTTTTATAGAATCGTACATTGACACTTATAACATTCCAATTTTCTCTCATTAAAAGCCTTATTTCTATGAATACTTATTACACTCCATAGTACTTAATGGTATACATTTTCATTAAAACGTACTGTCTAGCAGGATGGCATAGTATTTGATAAGATGACATTAGTTAAAAATGAATTAGAGAAACACCCAAGGGGGAAAAAGCAAATTGTGAGTTTTGTGATTTAAAATGAGTTTACTTGAGTTTCGTGATTTAAAATGAGTTTATCTGAGTTATATGATTTAAAATGAGTTTATGTGAGTTTTCTGAGTTAAAACGAGTTTTTGTGATTTAAAATGAGTTTAAAGCCGATTTAAATCAGCTTTAAACTCATTTTAAATCTCAAAACTCACATAAACTCATTTTAAATCATAAAACTCACAGAAACTCATTTTAAATCATAAACTTACAGCTCGCTATTTTCCGATTTATAGCGAGTTACAAATGACTTAAAGTGATTTTTGTGATTTAAAATGAGTTAAAGTGAGTTTCGTGATTTAAAATGAGTTAAAATGATTTTCGTGATCTAAAATGAGTTTACTTGATTTTTGTGATTTAAAATGAGTTTACAGCTGATTTAAATCAGCTTTTTCCCCCTTGGAAACACCACTTGATAGTCCTATTGAGCACTCCACTTTTTACGTATATCGTGAAGAGTAGTATTTCTAACATGAACACAATTTCAAATACATCAATAATATTACTAAACAATTTATCAAGAATAATGCACCTTAAATAATGGATCGATCTGCTTAACACATCGAATTAAAATTAGACAGATAATATTTAGTCCAATGTAAAATATAAAGTTGGAAGGAGAAAATATAAAAACAAAAACTCGAATAGTTTTTTTTGATCAAAGAATGAAAAATGTTCTTTTGTTATTTCTTTGAAAGATAAGCGAATAAAATTTTAGAGTATGGCAAAATATAGTATTTTTTGAAATCTATCACTTGAGAGATGAAACAATTCAAGCAGATGTTTATACAAAGAAATATCTGCAAAGCAAAAAATGTGCAAATGTTTATTTTTGTAAGTAGCTGTAATATTGAATAGATTATATTTTTGCTATCAGAATTTTAAAAAATGAAAGTTATTGTTTTTTTCTTTAATTTCCTATGCTAGATCAAAAATAAGGCTGAGAGTGTTACTAGCTAACGTGACAATGTAGGATTGATTTTGTTGCAAGAAATTCATTTTCTTATATAAATTCAAAATCTTGAGAATCGATAGTTATTGCTGTTTGTTCTTGCTTTGTTCAATGTTCTTTTTCTGATTATTTATACAATCTTGTATTTTAAGATTTGTTCGTTAACATCGTTCAAAGTGATGATTGTCGAGAGATAGTATTTTGATGATAATTGATCTATGGAAAAATGCTACTTTGAATCAATGATTGAGCTGACAAAACTTGTTCGCTTTGCATATTTTTACTATCTAGATATTTGGAAAAAGATCAGCGTCTACTATGTCAGGTCAATAATTTCAGCGCTCGGATTTATTTATTTCCAGCAGGAATTCGGTGATTGAATCCGATGATCGGTTATGACCGAATCCGACTATTGGGTTTCTGCTTCCAACATCCTGCCATTTTCCAGGGTTTTTCGACCGGAAATGACCCGTATTTATTGACCTAGGCGATTATGTCGTATTCAAATATTTCATTTGCGCCGTCGACTACTTCAGTGTGAATTATCAAGAGAAGATTTTGATCTTTCACATTTTCTTTATCAATTCATACATTTTAAATCTTAAAACATATTCGTTCTTAAGAAGAAAAACGGTCAACATGTTTTTCTAGATAATCTCAAATCTTTTACCACGGAGCAAAATCTCTGACTGATAAAAGAAGTGTCATCGAATAGAAAAGATGCAAGGGGACTGAAAAAGGGAGTGTTACCTTCCATATCGAGAAAATCTGAAAATTTCATGTGACCTCGAATTTCTTGAATGTAAAGATTGACATAGTCCAGATCTTCCGATACGATTCCGCCTAAATCTCGTTGTCGATAGAATACAATCACATTGACATTATTTTTCAAAAAAACTTTGACTGCCACTAGATGCGAACTACCTGCATCGATAATATCCATTGATTTCATCGTTATCGAAATACTTTTATATTCCACAAGGATCAAGGTTAGTCGAGCAAGGTACGAGAACACTCTTCAGCTACAAACTGTCGCCTCTTCATTGTTTGATGATCGGACACAACGTTCCTGATCAAAAAAAGTGAACCATTAATGAATGCACATCGTGTGACTATATTGGAGAAAGCGAGCTCAGACAATGATAAAATTTGTATTAAACAAATCAAAACAAATTGCTCAAGTAAATATAATACTGAAAGCGCATCTACCTAATTATAAGCGCACTCTTCATTTTCTCGTACTTCCCTCACTTAGAACAGAGGACCATCCTATATTAGAAGGCCACACACAAAAAAAAATTCACAAGACATAATAGAAGACAATGACTTTTTATTCTGGGAGCAGAGAACGGGGTTTACTTCTGTGCTTCTATCTCAGTCAAATAACATTCAATCTGACCCAAAATATGTGATTGATTGACTGCATACATCCATAATTTCTCATGCGCATGGTGCAAAAATTATTGAAAAAAGTTGAAAAATTGCCGATTTTCCAGTAATATTTTGCAATTGATTAGCAGCGTTTTAAAAAAGTGCACTGCTCTCAATAACAAACTGCTCCGCATAAGAACGCGCCAGCAAAATGCACAGAAAAACAAGATCAGTGAAAAATCGTATCAAACTCCATTATGAACTTCAAGATCGAACAGAATGTCTGTAGACAATTTTTTGTTCATATCTTTGACCATCAACCTACAAAAATTCATTGCAATTAATCGTTGCTTTGCCGAGATAGAGATCTCGAAATCGTACCTCAATACATTCTAAATATATGAACTACACATAATTAGAATGGCCGTGAAGATTTTGCTTCGAACAAGAACGCTACTGCGTAAAGTACATAGGATTCAGTTTCGCTAACTCATATCTCCTCGACCTTAAAATTGACATCTAGTCCTGAAATGAAAATTGCTTAGTTCGATTTTCTCTTTAACATAGTAGCAGTCCCATTTGAATTTAAAGTAGCTGTCATAATTCATTTAATTTATTATAAAGCATGGAAAAACAAATGCGAATTTATCGCGTAGTTCTTCAATTTTCTAGCTCTGCCTATGAGTCATATACAAAATCTCATTTCATATCTTTTTCTTGTTCTGTTTTATCGTAAAAATAAATGATCGACTTATATTAACCCTGATACGCCCACCTGGGATCCGTACAGACCCCAGCTCAAAATAAGCGATCTGAAGACATGTCTTGTTCTTTTTACGGGTACGTATCGAAAAGACAAAAACTTTGCAGATTGGTAGTATATGGTACTCTCCTTCAGTGTGATATACATTGAAAAGCTAAATGTTT